AAATGAGTCCTAACAAGGTAAAAAGAAATCTTTAAAAAAATTTAGTTTTGGGCCCGGCGCGGTGGCGCAAGTGGTTAAGTCCTCGCCTTGCACGCCCGGGATCCCATATGGGCGCCGGTTCTAATCCCGGCAGCCCCGCTTCCCTTCCAGCTCCCTGCCTGTGGCCTGGGAAAGCAGTTGAGGACGGCCCAAAGCTTTGGGACCCTGCACCCGCGTGGGAGACCCGGAAGAGGCTCCTGGCTTCGGATCGGCATAGTATCGACCCGTTGCGGCTCACTTGGGGAGTGAATCATCGGATGGAAGATCTTCCTCTCTGTATCTCCTCTCTGTATATCCGTCTTTCCAATAAAAAATAATAAAAATAAATCTTTAAAAAAAAAAAAAACAAAAAAACAAAAAAAATTTAGTTTTATATACATTTTCATTTTTTTATTGGAAAGTCAGATATACACACCGAAGGAGAAACATAGAGGAAGATCATCTACTAATTCACCCCCCAAGTGGCTACAACAGCCAGAGCTTAGCCGATCCGAAGCCAGCAGCCAGGAGCTTCTTTTGGGTCTCCCATAAGGGTACTGTTTGAACTGTATCTTGGTAATAATAAGCAGGAAAAGACCTCTGAAGAACAAAAAATAAAGAAAATTAGAAAAATCATGCTGGGTAAATCTGGCTCCTAAATGTAGCGATAGCTGCTCTTATTATAACTATTGTTTAATGAATAAAATACAGTAGTAATAGTTATTTCGTGGATATCCACTTGTTAGGTCCTTTACTAAGTACTTCACACACATCACTTCTACTCCTCAAATCACTGCAGGGTAGACATTATTCCTATTTTCCAGATGAGGAAATTAAAGCTTGAAGTGGTTAAATAATTTATCCAAGGTCACACAGCTGAGGAATACCTACCCAGAATTTAAATTCAGAGTTCTGATTTTAAAACTGTAGTCTTTCAAATGTATAGCCTTATATTATAAGAATGAAAACTGAGGGCCTGGTACAGTAGCCTAATGGCTACAGTCCTCACCTTGCATGTGCTGGGATCCCATATGGGCACTGGTTTGTATCTTGGCTGCTCCACTTCCCACCAGATTCCTGCTTGTGGCCTGGGAAAGCAGTGGAGGATGGCCCAAAGCCTTGGAACCCTACACCCACATGGGAGACCCAGAGGAGGCTCCTGGCTTCAGATCAGCTCAGCTCCAGCTGTTGTGGTCACTTGGGGAGTGAACAAGTAGATGGAAGGTCATTTTCTTTATCTCCTTCTCCCATAAATCTGACTTTCCAATAATAAATGATAAAAAAAAAAAAAAAAAAAAAAGCAAATCAGGGCTTGGTGCAATAGCCTAGCAGCTGAAGTCCTCGCCTTGCACATGCAAGGATCCCATATGGGCACTGATTCATGTCCCAGTGGCCCCCCTTCTGATTTAGTTTCCTGCTTGTGACCTGGGAAAGCAGTTGCAGACAGCCCGAAGCCTTGGGACCCTGCACCCATGTGGGAGACCCAGAAGAAGCTCCTGGCTCCTGGCTTTGGATCGATGAAGCTCTAGCCAAATAAAACATTTATATATTTAACTTCTTTTAAAATTATTACCATCATTCTATGATACAGTTCCACAGGCCCTGGGATTTCCCATCCCCTACACCCCCACCAAATTCCCCTATATTATTACTTTAGCGTAGCTCTTCATGAACAGTTACTGGTTTATCCTTGTGGGCATGGACAGTGGCATAGAGTCCAGCATCCTATTGTCCCAGCCACTCCATTTCTCATGCAGCTCACTGCTTGTGGCCTGGGAAGGAAGTGGAGTATAGCCCCAAACCTTCAGACACCGCACACATTTGGGAGGCCTAGAACAATTTCCTTGTCTATCCTGAGAAGTGGCAAATATTGCTACACTTGGGCTCTGCAGAGTTTTTCACAAAAGCTGGCTAATAGTTTAAAATTTTTATTTTTGTCTTTTGAAATTTACTTATGTTCAAACTTTTTTTTTTGAAAGATATATTTATTTAAAAGTTAGAGATGGAGAAGAGAGAAAGAGCCCTTCCATCTGCTGGTTCACTGCTCAAATGGCCACAAACAAAGCTGAGCCAGGAACCAGCGGCTTTTAGAAGAGCATCCACATAGGCAGCAGGGGCCCAACCACTTGGGGGCAGGAGAGAGACAGAATGAGAATAAAACTTCCATTCACTAGATCACTCCCCACATGGCTGCAATAGGCAGCACTGGGCCAGGCCAGAGTCAGGGACCAGCAGCTCCATCCTGGTCTTCCACATGAGCGCTGGGGACCTTAGTACTTGGGTCATCTGCTGCCTTCCTAGATGTGGTAGTAAGATTGGCAGTCAGGAGTGGAACTGATACTTCCATATGGGATATGGGCATCCCAAGGGGTGGCTTAGCATGCTCTGCCACAATGCTAGGCACCCAGATCTTTCCCCTTTGAGAAAATCAATACAAGGCTGTCTAACTCTTTGGATTAAACCACAACTGGCGCTCTTGTCATATAACATCAGCCCCTGGCTTTGTCACCTTGAATAAGCTACTTAAACTCTTTGCACTTCAGTGTTTTCTTTACAAACATGCCAGTTGTTGCTGATTTTTTTTCAAGGCTTTTCTTCCCCTAATTTATTTTTATGTCAGTTTCATCTCATTGTTTAAATAATGTGTTATTAACTTTGGAGCAACTTATTTCCCTCACAATGTGACTTCTTTGTTGTCCAAGCCATCTCTGCCCATTTTGGTTTAATTCAAAAAACTTAAAAACACTTTTCTAGAATTTTAACTTGCCTGCCTTGTTAGTGCTAATTTTCTCACGCTTTCAACAAGGTGTATGTGCTTCTGTTGTGGGGGTAGGATTCCCCAGCTGGGTTTACTCCAAATTCTTGTCTCCGTGTGAGAGAAGAATTCAAAGAGATGCTTTTGCGCACTAAAGATAGCAGGACTTATTTACAGGGATAGTATACATTCAGACTTGAATACAAGAAGTTCTTCTATGAGCGAAGTAGCATCTGCTGTTCCTACTCACAATTCAGGCTGTTCCAAAGTTTATAGAACAGCAAGTGGGAGGGCCCTGAGCAAATATACATATAGTACAGATTTTAGAGCTTCTGTGCAAATGGAGATCTCCAGGAAGGTACAGCATCTTCTCATGCAGCCAATATACACGTGGTCATCATGCGTGTGAGGCTCGGGTGCCTGATGGGCACTCAAGTGCCAGCAGCCACGTTGGATAAAAACAGAACAGGCAGGCATGTTAGCAGTGCAAGGCTGCAGCCCGGAGACTGCTGGAAGTCTCTCAGCTGTGTTCCCCTCGCCAGCTCCTTTCCCAGCTCACATCCTGCTCATCCGAAAAATAGTCGTCACATTCATGGAAGAGTGGAGTGCAGAGGAAAAGCTTTACCCTCCTTGGATGCAATAACTGAGGACTTTTTTCCTTAAAGATTTATTTTTATTGGAAAGATATACAGAGATGAGGAGAGACAAAGGGGAAGATCTTCCATCTGATGATTCACTGCTCAAGCAGTCGCAATGTTGAGCTGAGCCGAACTGAAGCCAGGAGCTTCTTCCAGGTCTCTCAGGTGGGTACAGGGTCCCAAGGCTTTGGGTCATCCTTGACTGCTTTCCCAGCCCATTGACAGGGAGTTGATGGGAGGCAAAGCCACCAGGATTAGAACCGGCACCCATATGGGATCCCAGTGCATTCAAGGCGAGAACTTAAGCTGCTAGGCTATCATTCCAGGCCCAAGGACTTTCAAAGTAAACTGACAGGGCCCAGCAGCGTGGCCTAGCAGCTGAAGTCCTCACCTTGAACATGCCAGGATCCCATATGGGCACCGTTTCTAGTCCCACTGGCTCTACTTACCATCCAGCTCCTTGCTTGTGGCCTGGGAAAGCAGTCGAGGATGGCCCAAAGCCTTGGGACCCTGCATCCGCGTGGGAGATCCTGAAGAAACTCCTGGTTCCTGACTTCAGATTGGCTCAGGTCTAGCCATTGTGGTCACTTGGGGAGTGAATCAATGGATGGAAGATCTCCTTTCTGTCTCTCTTCCTCTCTGTATTTCTGACATTGCAATAAAAATAAATCAATCTTTAAAAAAAATAAAAAGCCAGAATATTAAGTTAAATAAGAAAATCATGGAAGAAAAAAGCTGGAATACCTGAGAACGAAGATCATTAATAGGCTGTCAGAGTTGGAAGTTATTGTCAAAACCTCCTCATTGTGAAATGAGGAAGAAGGAAGATGAAGAAGGGAGTGATTTACTCAAGGTCAGAATGAAAAATCAAGTCACAAAATTTTAAATTGTCATTCTGCTTTCTACATCTGGAAAACACAGACATTTTCTTCTTGCCAAAATGCATCCCTTGGGGTTTGCTTTCTTTGCACTGAAATGTTACTCTTGGAGTTTTAGTAGTCTGGAATGCGTGGGATGAAAATGAAACAGCAGAGTTCTGGAATTTAGTTTTTACAGCCTTTCTAGGACTCCTAAATGTGAACTTAACAGCCTGCCAAAGTTTCCTTGGATTTGTAAATTGATTATTTCAGTGCTAACGGTGCATCAGGCATGGGTACTGCACGTCCTTAGTAAAAGGCAGAGCAGAGGATCCAGTCTTAAGTCTCTTGTCTCAAGAACTATATGATATAGGTGACCGTAGAGAAAATTCTGAGACAAATGAAGGGCTCTATTTGTTCAACCAAACTTCCAACGGGAACAATTTCTTGGATTTCAGACAGATGCGGAATCCTTCTTTTTGACAGGAGTCTTGCGGCTTCCCTCCTGGAGAGAGGGCGAAGTCACTCCCACGCCTGCACCTCCTCGCCTCAGTGTGGCGCTTCTGGACCGCAGGGCTGGGTGACCAGCGCTCACTACAGGACCTGGGCAGACGCCTGCCCGGGCGCCGCCGTGCGCCTGCGCGTCCCCCTTTGTTGCTTGGCGCTGGGGTCGGGCTGCGCCTGCGTAGTGAAGCGGCCCCACAAGTGCGCTGCAGCGCTCGCAGCGGCGGGGGGCGAGCCGACCTCGAGCAGCCGCCGCTGCCGTTGCCGAGTTCAGAGGGACCGGAGCCGGTAGACTTCGCCCAGGGTGCCGAGATGTCGTCCACCGCCGCTTTGTATCTTCTGTCTACTCTCGGAGGCTACTTGGTGACCTCATTCTTGTTGCTTAAATACCCGACCTTGCTGCACCAGAGGAAGAAGCAGCGATTCCTCAGTAAACACATCTCTCACCGCGGAGGTGAGAGGGGTCCCCAGAATCCGGGGGCGGAGGGGGAAAGGGAAGGCTGTTTCTCCCAGGGAGAACTTAAGGGTCCTTTGGGGCTTCCACAGCACGCAGCCGGATGGAAATAGACGCGAGGGTTTGAGGGAGAGTGTGGTAGGAATAGAAGGCGTCCTCGCAGGGAAGGCTGTGGGAAGAGATGTCGTCCTGAGGGAGGGAAAAGAAAAGCGAGTTCGAGCCATGGTGGGGCTTCTCTGAAGAAGGAACGACCTGGGTGAGACTGAAGGGTGGGTACAGGCAAGGAAGGTCGCAGGGTCCCTTCTGGGCAGCAAAGCATGAGGGGGAACTCGGGGCAGAACCGAGGGCACGGGCGGCGGAGGAGGGGGTGCCTGGCACGGCCGGCCGGGAGCGGAGCCGGTGGCCCAGCCTGCTGGACCCGGGGAGAGGGGCCCGGCTGAGCCCCTACACGGCCCTGGAGCGGGTTGCAACCCGGGTGCCTGCGGTGCCTGGGGCCGGCCCCACCCCCAGCTCCCAGCACGGGTGATGGAGAAGGGGAGAGCTCCAAACCAGAGACGTTTCCCAAGGTCACAGGGAGAGCTTGGGCTAAACGGGAGCAGGACCTGAATGAAGGGTCTTGGTGCTCAGGGGTTCAACCCTCGCACCTGGTTTTGTTTGTTGAATTGAGCACCATCCCACATTCTACACCACGTGGGTTTGGTTTATGACAAGATGGTATCCTTTAAAGAAAGCAAAGACAAGGGCTTCCGCTCACCACCCCGAAAAGTATCGTGCTAAAATAAGCCGAGATAGTTCCCCCTCCCCTTTAATTCCCAGATAATGGGCCCAAGTCTTTGTCTCCTCATTATTGTGTAATAATGTGACTTCATTTCAAGCATAATGTCTAAAATATTACGAGACAGAATTATTTCATCAAATTCGTCTGTTCTTCAGGGATGAATGTTGAACGAGTAAAATTGCTTGGGTTTACAGTGTGTTGCTTGACATGGTAAATGTTAGGTATTTACAGTAAACTCGATTTAGTGCCATTAAATGGTCAGGAATAAAGTTTTAGCCGTCACAGAAGCACATTATGGTTATTCTACATAATCTTGATAATTTTATCAGATGGTTCTGCTAAGTGACTTGTGTAGTTGCCCTCCTCTTCCCCTCATGAAACGCTTCACTTTTACAGTTGTTCACTAAATGCTGTGTTATTGTGTAATTGATTCCTGTCTGTGGGATGACATAATCGCCAGCACTGCACCTTCAACCATTAAAACAAGGGACCAACTTTCAGTAGTCTAGTTGTTGCCATGGGAGCAATTTCCAGTTCTGGGGAGAAGCAGTACATCCTGCAGTTGTGTTTACTGATTCACCAAAAGAAAAAAGTGCTGGCTAAAAACCATAAATCCAAACCAGGTTTCTGTTTGAAAAGAAATACAAGTAGTCTTTGAAATGCGGTGATATCGTACAGGTGAAAAAAGCACTCCGTGTGTGATAGCACGTCAGGGCTAGTGTCAAAGCCAAGCCAAGGTGGATGGATCATGAATTCTCGTTTACTGTTGCAAATACTCTAAACATGTTTCATTCCTAGGTGTAAAGTCATTTCGATATCGTTTCTTAGGTTAAAACTCTGATTCATTATTCCAGTATTTGTGTGTTCAGAGATGTAACTGAGCCTTCTGTGGGAAGCTGGGTAATTATCTACAGATTCTTTTATGTATTTCATTTTTTATCCATATCATGGGCCTACTGGGACTATTATTCCCATATGTTAGTGCTTAAGATGTTTTTTGGAATGTATGTACCAAGGAATGCAGTTGAAACCTTACTGAAGGGGGATATGTTTATCAAGAAACACTTTGCAACTCAAGATACTACATTTCTGGAAAATCAGTGACATAGGCACCAGAAAGGAGATATTCTGTTGATTGCTTTTTTTTTTTTTTTCTTCACCTTGGCCTCAGGTAAATCCTTTAACCCATCAGCACAGGAGCAAATTGAATCAGCAAAGGGTTTTCATCCTTGGCCAATTGCTTTTTTTTAAAAAAAAAATTTATATGCATTTTTATTGGAAAGTCAGATATACAAAGAGGAGGAGAGACAGAGGAAGATCTTCCGTCCGATGATCTACTCTGCAAGTGGCCGCAACAGCTGGAGCTGCGCCGATCCAAAGCCAGGAGCCAGGAGCTTCCTCCAGGTCTCCAAGGCCTTGGGTCATCCTCGACTGCTTCCCCAGGCCAGGCCCGCATTGATTGCTTTTTAAGTTTTGTCTTGGACACTGATTACAGTTGCTGGGCTCTGTGAAATTGCTAACATTTGGGCTTCTTGGTTGCACTAACTGAAAATGTTTGATTTTTCTTATAATTCAGATGTGTGGCCATTCCAATGTTGATACTTTGATTATTCTATATACATAAAGTATGTGCACCTAAATTGGTATAAGTTGAAACTGTAAATGTATATACTATTATGCCTACTACAAGAGCGTTATGATAAAGATTTAAATCACCTTATCAGAGTTCAGATCTGTTTATAGTTAACTTTGGGAATAAGCTATAGTTATCTATAAAATGGGAACCATTTACCCTGCTTTTTAAAAATGTAGTGTGTGCATATATATATATATATATATTTTTTTTTGAGTTTACATTGTTTTGCATTTTAGTCAGTGCCTTGCTTCATTCCTTTGATTGGTACCCTGATCAGGCAAATCACAACTGTGGAACTGTTTAGAAATGTGAATGCATGATGTTAGCAGCATGACATAGTAGAGTAAGCCTCTGCCTGTGGTGCTGGTATTCCATATAGGCAATAGTTCAAGTCCCAGCTGCTCTGCTTCGGACCCAGCTCCCTGTTTATGGCCTGGGAAAGCAATGGAGGATGATTCAAGTTCTTCGATTTCTGTACCCATGTGGGAAACCTGGAGAGAAAACTCCAAGCTCCTGGATTTGAATCAGCTCAGCTGATTTGAATCAGTGTTACAGCCATATGGGGTGTGAACCAGTGGATGAAGATCCCTGGAATTGTATTTTGCCATAAACTGTTAAATTGATAGAGAGGAAGTAAGATCACTTATGTTTTCAAAGTTGTTTGTCTTTTACTAAGATTGATTTTTCTTTTTCTTTTTTTTTAAAGACTTCTTTTTATTTTAACAGCAGATTTATAGAGAGGAGAGACACAGATCTTCCATCACATCATCTGGTTTACTCCCTCAGTGGCCACAATGGTTGGAGCTGGGCCAGGCTGAAGCCAGGAGCTTGGAGCCTCCTTGGGCTCTCTGATATGGGTGCACGGCACGCCCAGGCACATCAGCAGGGAGTTGGATCAGAAGTGGAGCAGCTGGCACTAAGAAAAAAAACATTGCCCCTATGGAATCTGGCATCTCAGGCAGAAGCTTAATCTAGTACGTGCCAGTCCTTTTAAAATTTTTTTGCCTTGTTAGTAGGAAATATTCTGTTTGAAAACTTCAGTGCAATAGACCTTGTTGTTGCCTTTCTAAAGCATACATTACACACATCCCTAGGCATTTCTAAGATTTATTTGATTTATTTGAAAGATAAAAAAGAAGGATACAGAAGAGCTCTTTTTTTTAAGTAATTTATTTTTATTGGAAAGGCAGATTTACAGAGACAAGGAGATACAAAGAAAAGGATCTTCTTTCCACTGGTTCACTCCCCGGATGACCACAACTGGCTGGAGCTGAATGGATTCAAAGTCTGGAGCTGGTGGGCCCAGCACAGTAGATAGTAGATAAAGTCCTCGCCTTGCATGTGCTGGGATCCCATGTGAGCACCAGTTCTAATCCCAGCAGCCCCACTTCCCATCCAGCTCCCTGCTTGTGGCCTGGAAGGCAGTTGAGGACAGCCCAAAGCCTTGGAACCCTGCACCCTCGTGCAGGGTTCTGATTGGTTCAGCTTCAGCCGTTGCGACTGCTTGGGGAGTGAAACATCCGACGGAAGATCTTCTTCTCTTCTCTCCTCCTCTCTGTATATCTGACTTTGCAATCAAAATAAATAAATCTTTAACAAAAGACAGGAAAAAAAGAAAAATATTTTACAGCTTTTAGTTAGTATGTATAATGCTAGTTGACTCTTCACCTGGTATGTAATATTATTATTTTTTTAGATTTATCTTTTTATTGCAAAAGCATATGGTATTTTTTTTATCAAGTAAGAAAACTTTTAATCACCATTTAAACCATTCAGACAAGATTATGTAATAAAATAATTCTACAAGTTGTGTATTTTATTGCAATTTCCTCTGGAAGGAATATCCCTCCCTGACCTTTCCTTAAAAGTGTTTAGCATATACAATCAACGCAGAACCAGAAAAATTGCTTTGCTCTGTCCCACAGTTAGAGGAACTTGTCAGAAGAAAGTTCCAGTCGCCTCACTGCTACTTTATGCGATAATCTTCAGGTGGAGAACATACTCTTGGGAAAGCCTCTATTTCTTGTGTGTATTCATCAAGTCGTTTAGGTACTTTGCCTGGCTGAGAAAGTTCTTCCACTAAATTTTTAAGAATATCTTCTGGAATATTATTATCTGGAATAAGATGTAGTCGTTGCATCATTGTTCTTCTGTGAAGGCTTTTGGGCAGCATGCCATAAACAGCTAATTTTACAATTGCCACTGGATTGTGCTGGTGAAGCTCAGCAGCTGTTACTTGTCTAAATCCACCTGGGTAGCCAGTATGTGAGGAGTATACTTTCTGCTCCCATTTGTTTCCAGAAAATGCAATGTGTCTTGTGTTCATTATGACAACATGATGGCCACGGTCACTCAGTTGATGGTATATAGGCTTGGAGTCCTTGGAGTTTCATCGATGCTAGGGCTGCAAGTTTTCCAGGAGGCTGCATTTTCCCATCTAAGAGATACCACATTTGGGCAAAAGTGGTCCATTGCTGGGACGCCTTGGAGAAACTGGACATGCTCCCCAGGCGGCTCTCTCACCGGCACATGGCCCAGTTGCACAGCTTTACAGACCCAGCATATGGTATTTTTATCAATCAGTATATTCACATCAGCGTCTACCTTCATTTTTTCATTGTGATATTAATTATTCCAGTGAATGGACATTGACTGAGTTCCTAATCTTCAGTAGTTATATGATAACAGGAATGATGACAATTACAGGGTTCTTTATTTCCACTGAATGTTCACTATAGTATTTCATTGAACTTAAGACTACATTATAAGATGCACAGTTTTTAAGTACTATGTTTTTTATTTGTTTTGTTTTTTGAGATTTATTTATTTTCATTAGAAAGGCAGAGTTACTGAGAGAAGGAGGGACAGAAAAAAAGATCTTCCATCCTTTGGTTCACTCCCCAAGTGGCCTCAACGGCCAGAGCTAAGCCAATCTGAATCCAGGAGCTAGGAACTTTTTCCTGGTCTTTCAGATGGGTGCTTGGTTCCAAGGCTTTGGGCCACCTTCCATTGCTTTCTTAGGCCACAAGCAGTGAGCTAGATGACAAATGTTGCAGCTGGTACACAAACCGGTGTCCATATGGGATCCTGAAGCTTGGAGGTGGGGAATTAGCCAATTGGGCTATTGCACCAGGCCCAATTTTTAGCTACTGTTAAGAGAAATGACTGAGAGTTAAGTTATTACATGTTACTCCTTGTAAAATATGTTCTAACTTTAGAGATGTTAAAAAGTGAAAATCTGTCAGTTTTTAGAGCTTATGATGTATGGCACTTTGTATGTTAACTCATTGAATTATGCCAGTCCTGTTTGATGGGTAGTATCTCTATCCCCATTCTCACACTTAAGTAAGCTCAACTGTAGAGGTTGGATAACATAAGGTCACTCAAGTGTATTTTTAGATTTTTACTTATGTATTTGAGAGACAAATAGGTAGAAACAGAGAGCTCCTGTCCTCCCATTCTCTCTCCTAAAATGTCCTTGAATTCCAAAGGACTGAAAGAGTCAAGAACTCAGTCCAGGTCTCCCAAGGATAGCAGGAACCCATTTAGTTGAGTCATCTTGTTGCTTTTGGGGTCTGCTTTAGCAGAAAGCTGTCAAGAACCAAAGCTGGGTGTTGAACCTGGGCTTTCTGATATGGGTTGTGAGCATCTTAGCCAGGGGCCTAACCACTAGAACAAATTGCCTGACCTGCAAGTATTATCCATATTTGAATAGACCAACCATCCTAATTCCAGTTTCACTCTCAGAAACTGCACCATAGTGCCTTTTATGAAGGTAATTAAACAGGAGCTGATGTTAGGGTGCAGCATGTTAAGCCACAGCCTGGAATACCAGGATCCCACATGAGTGCTGGTTCAAGTCTTGGCTGTTCCACTTCTCATGTAGTTCCCTTCTAATGTACCTGAGAAAATGTACCTGAGAATGGTGACCTAAGTAAGTACATATGCCCCAACCACCCATGTGGGAGATCCAGATGGAGCTCTAGGCTGTTAGCCTGGTCCAGCCCTGGCCGTTACATACATTTAGCTAGTGCAAGATTTCTTTTTTCTCTGCCTCTCCTTTTCTCTGTAATTCTGACTATCTTTCTTTTTAAGATTTTTTTTTTTTTTTAATTTTGATCAGAAAGGCAGATTTACAGAGTGGACACAAAAAGATCACCCATCCACTGGCTCACTCTCCAAATGGCCACAACAGCTGTAGCAGAGAAGCTGATTTGAAGTCAGGAGCTTCTTCTGGGTCTCTCAGACGGGTGCAGGGTCCCAAGACTTTGGGCCATGCTTCTGTACTTTGCCAGGCCACAAGCAGGGAGCTGGATGGGAAGTGGTACAGCTGGCACATGAACCGCCTCTTATATGGGCTGTCTATGCGTGGAGATGGAGGGTTAGTTAGCCTGTGAGCCAACCTGCTAGCCCTCTTAACTTTCAAATAAATATTTTTTTTAAAGTAATTAACACCATCAACTTTTATGCAATTCATGGGAATGGGGCAAAATAGCATACTCTATAGTATAACAAATACCTTGGTAGATATATGCGCAAGAGACTACAGAAAGACAGAAGAAAGAATAAGTCTGAAGAGATGTGTGTGTACCAAGTTTTCTGTCTTTCCTTTGGTAAACAAGCAGATGTTATAGCCTAAAAATCAGATTTAGTTTCTAACCTTCTTGTGTTGATGTAACTTTTTACCATTATATTTTTAAAAACACTTCTATTTTGTGTCTACATGATAAGTAAACATTAGGACTTGTTAGATGTATTTTGTTAGATTTTGAAAAAATAAATTGTTCATGGGCTGGCATTGTGGCATAGTGGGTAATGGTGCTATCTGTGATGCTGGCATCCAATATTGATTCTGGTTTGTGTTCCTGCTGCTTCACTTCCATTACTTGCTCCTTGCTAATGGCCCGGGAAAAGAAGCATATGATGGCCCAAGCGTTTGTACCTTTGGTACCTGCACAGGAGACCTAGATGCAGCTCCTGGCTTCTGGTTTTAGCCTGGCCCAGCACTAGCTATTGTGGCTATCTGTAGAGTAAGCCAGTGAATGGAAAGTCTGTCTCTGATCTTCCTGTCTCTATAGCTCTGCCTTTCAGATAAACAGATCATATCTATATATCTGTATATTTAGATACTGTTCAAAATGCTAAGTAAGTGAAGTTTGGTTTTTATATTTTCACAGGTGCTGGAGAAAATTTGGAAAACACAATGGCAGCCTTTCATCAGTAAGTGTATGAAAGTATTCTTTTAAAAACAGCTTAAAGTGAGGTTGAGTCAAAAAGTGCAGTGTATACATACAACATTCAGTTGTGACAGTGAGTCCTATTTTATTAAAATCACTCTTAGAGAAAAAAAAATCACTCTTTTAAAATTCAATCAGTCTGAAGTGTTACAAAGACTGTTTGGCTTCTGTAGAACTGAAAAACCAGTTTGAAGCTTTGGGTAGTCAAAAGATATCATAGTCCCAAAGCTGGAGATAAAAAAGAAAGACATTTGCAACAAAGAACGTACTGTGTATCATGCTAATTAGTCTTGGAGAAAAAGAGAAAATGAAACAGCTGTTACATCTTCTGCTGTTTATGAATAGGATTATGTGTCCTTGTATCCAGTAGTTTTTGTACAGACCTGAACCTGCTGTCTGATTTTCTTTCTTGGGGACCTTATGGCTGTTAAGCTTACTTTCCTTAAATACAGCAGATTTTAAAAGATTCTACTTACACTTGATCTGTATTTCATGGAGATGTCTTTTCTGAGAAGCAGCAGGAGAGAGACAGGAAAGCTCAGGGGTAGATGTCTCTCTGTGCTTAGAGGCAGCACTTAACACTGGTTGCTGGTGAGAATGCTGGTCAACTTTTGCTGAAAAAGAGAACAGGGACTGTGAAAAGTTAAACCCAGTGAAAGACATTATTCTTAGGCAATTTGGGAGCCATTTTAAAATATATCTAAGATTGGGAGAATCTGACTTCAGGTTTTGTTTTGCATTTTACTATTGATGATATCCTGAAGGGGTACCTGTCACAGCTAGCTCTTAAGATGCAGCTTGGGACACCTGCACCCCACGTGAGAGTGTCTGAATTTGCATCTCAGCTCTGTTCTTGACTTCAGCACACTGGGAAGAAGCAGTCTTGGCTCCTGCTGCTGAGTCCCTGCTATCCATGCAGAAGGCACGTATTGAGGCTCCTGGCTTCAGCCTGGCCTTGCCCTGCCTCTTACAGACATTTGGGGAATAAACTGGAAGATGGGAGGTACTTGTATGTTTTCAAATGTATACTTTAAGATCTGTGTAGTTATTTGAAAGTTGAGTTATGTGTGTGTGTATGTGTATACATACGGAGAGAGAATCTTCCATCTACTGGTTCACCCCCCAGATGACTACAACAGTGTGTGGGCTGGGCCAGGCTGCAGCAAGGAACCAGGAGCTTCATCCAGATCTCCTATGTGGGTGCAGGGGCCAGCGCTTGGACCATCTTCTGCTGTTTTCTCCCATGCTATTAGCAGGAAGCTGGATTGAAAGTGGAGCAGTCTTGACACAAACCAGTGCCCATGTGGGATGCCAGTGCTACAGGCAGTTGGCTTTACTTGCTATGCCACAGCATAAGCCTCATATTTTGTTCTTTTTTAAAGGGACCTTAGGGCTTATTTTTCCTGTTACTAGATCCAAAGGAACTACTTCTCCACAGTCTGGGTTCATCTCAATGCTTGTTTTCCTTATATTTGTCATCTTTTATTCTTTAATAAGTTCATGAAAATGTGGAAATTTTTAAGAAGCTTACTTTGAGATCAAAAACTTTTGAAATTTATACTTTTTTTCATGATACACATTTTCCATGAATTTTTAAAAGATCTTTTGTGTAATATAGAATCTTTAACTACAATCTCTAAAACCTCTTATAAGAATATATTTTTTTTCCCTTCAGTCATCGAATATGCAACTGAATGCTTTAAATTACTTTCAGTTACTTTTTTTTAACCTAGATTGTATACCTGGCTAGCTAGGTGCAGCTAAATGTAGATATATATGTAATTTTACATTTGCAGATTCCTCTGAGCTACATGTATATATGTAAACACATACAGTATAATTTATCATTTGTTGCCTGATGTAGCTGACTTGGGAGTAATAGCTCCTAAATTTGTGTGATTCTGGTACCCTCTATGTTTGAAATAAATTATTTGTTAAAGTTGTTCTCTACATTCTTTAACAATTTTTATCAAAAATACTAGATTTGAGGATAAGTATGATATATATGAAAATATCACAATTTGAATCTTAAATTTTTGATTCTCTGAAATGTTTTTATCTTTTAATTAATTTTTTATTAAAGTTTTATTTATTCATTTGAAAGGCACAAAGACAGAAACAGAGATAGAAAGAAAAATTTTGCATGTGCTGGAAAGTTCCAAATGCTGTCAATAACCAAAGTTGGGCCAGGCCAAAGAAAGGAACCAGAAACTCCATCTGGACCTTTCACTGGAGCAGCAGGGACTCAACCATTTGGGCTCTCATGATGCCTCAAAGGCACATTAGCAGAAATCTGCAGTAGAGCTAAAATTGGATCCCAGACACTCCAGTATGAGATTTATGTGTCCCAAATGGCAGCTTAAACCATCATGCCACAATGCTCATTTCTACTTTTACTTATTCGAAAGGCAGAATAGGAGAAAGATTGCTTTTCTGTTAATTCACTTCCCAGAGGAGTGAAGAGAAGTAGCTGCATCTCATACTTTATTCATTTATTTACTTGAAAGGCAGAGACAGTGTATGTGAGAGACAAATACAACTCCCACCTATTGGTTCCCTCCCCAGACACCCATGTGAGTCAGGGCTAGGCTAGGCCAAAGGTGGAAGGAAGCCAGGAACTCAGTTCACATCTACCACCCTGGCAGCCAGGACTATCACCTGCTGTCTCTCAGTGAAGCGGGAATCTGAAATAGAGCTAGAACTTTTTGGTTTTGTTTTGTTTTTAGATTTTATTTTATATTGGAAATTCAGATATACAGAGAGGAGGAGAGACAGAGAGGAATATTTTCCATCTGCTGATTCACTCCCCAAGTGGCCACACGGCTGGTGCTGTGCCAATCCGAAGCCAGGAGTCAGGCACCAGAAGCTTCTTCTAGGTCTCCCACACAGGTGCAGGGTCCCAAGGCTTTGGGCTATCATTGACTGCTTTCCCAGGCCACAAGCAGGGAGCTGGATGGGAAGTGGGGCTGCTGGAATTAGAAGTGGTGCCTATATGGGACCCCAGCATGTTTAAGGTGAGGACTTTAGCCACTAGGCTCCATGCCTGGCCCGAGTTGGAACCTAAACCCAGACATTCTGCTATGGGATGCGGCCATACCAGCTGGTGCCTTTAACCACTATGTCAAATGCTAGTCCTTCATACTTAAAAACAAACAAAACTCTTTAATGTGTTTTTAAAAATGCTTTCATACATACCATCTCCCATATGTTATAAGTATGGTGGCTCTTCTGTTATTTCTTGAAAAGCAGGAATCTTTTTTTCTTTAAATTTTTATTTTTGATGATGTTTACATGCTTGGTCAGGGTTCAAGGGTTAGAGGAAAGTGGGTGAAAGCATTGCTTTCAAATTTTCTTTTTCTTCCTCCTATATCTCAGGGAAGGGGGGATATAAGGGGAGAAGCGATACCCAGCCTCCCTACTACCTCAGTACCGGGGATGGGGAACGACCACCAAATATCAGTGTCTCTAATGTGGAGCATGCTCCGAGGGTTCTGCCAGGTGGCTTTGATGGTTCTGAAATGCTCTTGATTGCTGAACCAAGGATAAGGAAATTCTTCCAAGTTCCATTGGCTGACATAGTCCAGCTTAGAGTCTCTGTTTGCCCAGATATATGCTGTCAATGCTTGGTTAGGGTAGTTGTCCAATTTGTTCTGCTCCCCTTCCTCTGCTATAGCACCAGATGTCCTCCACAGGCCCCAGTGAACTTCCCTATGTTCCATGTGCATTAGGACATGCTGTCCTCTGTTCCGTTTTATCCACTGAGGAGGACCAGTTCTGACACAGTTCTGAAACATGCACTCTACGGTCATTTCACCGATCCGGCAATTCTTCCCATTTGTTAGTGTTCTGAGTTCAGCAATTTGGTTGGGGAGATCCTCAAAGAGACCTCATCTTATGTGTGCTAACCCTTATGTGTGCTTGCTGGTACAGGGTCCAACTCAGCCCATCACCCTCATCAGCCTGTGCACAAGCTGGTAGTTGCAGTTGCTGGGTCAGTTATGTATCCAGCCGCATCTCTTATGCAAACCGATGGATTCTGTGGCCCAGACCAACCCAGCCCACTACACACTCAGCCCTCACATACGCCAGTGAGAAATGTAGTCTAGTTGGAGCAGCCCCCAATAATCCCCACCAGGCCTGCCCCCAACCCTAGTTCTTGTGCTTGTTAGTATGTGCAGCAGACTGGTCCAGTCTGTCCCACATTCCGTTCAGCTCTCATACACATCAATGGCCATTGGAGCCTACGTCAACCTAACTGACCCCACTATCCAGTCCACACTCATGCTGGCAGGTGCCATCTCCTGTCTAGCCAGACCCTCCTCTACTCCTGGTTCTCATGCTCACCCGTGGAATCTTCTGGGAGTTGCAACCCATCAAAGGGGTTCCCGCAGTTTCCCTACTAGGCTTATTCCTATTCCCGGATCTTGCATTCTCCAGGTGGTTCTGCAGTCTAGCTTGACAGGATTTGCCCATAGTCCCAGCACTTGCCAGCTGATGCTGCAGCAAAGCCCAGCCAGCCTACACTTACCTCATGCATGCGCTGGTGGATATAGTCGGTTAGCTCAGCCTGGATGTCCCCCAGCCTGACTGCAGGCCTGATCTGTCCCCAGTCCCAGATATGCTCACCAGTGGGAGCAGTGGCCTAGCAGGGAATCCTGCACTGCCCTCTTACCAGGCTTGCACCACTCCCCCCAGGTCTCACATGTACTGCCATGGCCCAGTCTGACATAGCCTGTCTTACCTTAGCATTTGCTGGTGGGTGCTACAGCCTGACTGGCCTGGTCTGTGCCCAGTTCCAGCTTATACTGGTGGGGTACTGCAGCCTAGCCCGGCCCAGTCAGCCCCTAGTCCTGGCCCTAATGTGAACTGGCTGGTATTGCAGGCCAACTTGGCCTGTCCTGCATCCCATCCGGGTTCTCTGCCAGTGGGTATTATGAACAGCCCAACCTGGCCTGCCCCTAGACCTGATTTATACATATGCCAGCAGGTACTGTAACCTGGCCTGATCTGGGCTGCTTCCAGCCTTGGTTCTAGAGTTCAGATACAGGGACTGCATCATGATAGAGTTCTCCAAGCTCCTGTATCAGTTCTGCTCCCAATGGATTATCTCACCTATTCTGGTGGGTCCTTGACCCAGACTGACCTAGTCCACTTCCCATCCTGGCAGGAACAGTGGCCTTGCCCAACCGGTCCACACCCATTCCAGTTCTCACTGTTGGGTGTTACAACCCAGCCACGCCCAGACACAGCTCTCACGCAATTCAGCGAGAGCCAAGACCTAGCCCAGACCGTCCTACACTCACCCTGGTTCTCATGAGCACCAGTGGGTGCACCAGTCTGGCACACCCCAGACCCAGTCCACACCCATGCTGAGGAAGACTGCAACCATGTTCAGCCCAGATTGCTGCCCCTATTCTGGCTCTCATGCTAGCCAATGGGAACCATAATCCAGCCAGGGCATTCCCTTTGCTCCCCAACCAGCCCTGATCCCAGCCATAGCTTTTGGGTGTGCCAATGGTTGTTCTGACCCAGGTCAGCGTAGCCTATCCGACGTCTTGACCTTTGCCGTAAGATGCTGTAGCCTGGCCTGTCCTGGTGCACCCTCAGTCTCATCTTTCACTGGCAGATGCTGCAGCCTAGCCCTGCCCAGTCTCCTTCCATTCCTGACTCATGCAAACCAGTAGGTATGACCCACACTCCTGCCTGGCTCCTGCACAGCATAAGGTTTGATCTGATCTGCCCAACTCCAAAACCAACCCACACACTTTCCATCGAATGGAACCATCTTGCCTGGCCTGACCAACACTCAGGTCTGAATCACATGCTCACCAGCAGGAGCTATGGCCTACTAGGGGAGTTTCCCAAGTTCCCCCACCAAGCCTACTCCCAGACCAAGATCTCACACATGCCAGAAGGTGCTAGGTCTGTACCGCCTTACTGACGCCTCCGTCCTGGCTTGTATATGGGGCTAGGTGTATGGCCCGGCCATCCCCACATCCTGTTCTTGGGTGTGTCTGCGGGTGCTGCAGACACAGGAATCTTTTTACCCATGTCTCCATTTCTCATATCAGACTCAGGCTCTGGCACTGCTGTAGTGGGGCATTCGTGGACACAACAGGAGGTTAGGCACATGGCCTACTGGCTAATGTGTCCAGATTTCATGTCTGGATCCTGGTCCCTACACCAGCTTCTTGTCTGTGGAGGTGCTGGAAGGCAGAGGCGATGACTGAAGGAATTCCACGTGGGAGTCCTGGATTAAGTTCCCAGCACGTAACTTTGATGTCAGCCTGGCACTGTCATGGGCATTTTGGGGAGTTAGCAGTGGATGGAATGAACTCTGTCTTCATCTTTTTTTCAAATAAATGAAATTGATAATGACATAAAAAACCAGAGCAGAATATTAGCAAAACAACCAAACAAACAGATAAAATCCCTTTCCTAGTAAGGTTAGAGCCAAATGCTAAGGAATCATGGTAGACACATACAATTATACAGGTATCACTAAGCCCTTAAACATGTAAAGTCTGGTTCTTAAGGGCTCATTAAAACAGGTTATTAAACCAGGCCACTTTTGTAAGGGCCCATAGGACAATGTGATCCTTGTAGTATTAATATGACTAGGGGAAGGAAGAAAGCAAATTGTATCAGCAATAGCTGAAAGTATAAGTTGGCCGTTAGTCAAAGTAATTAATCGGTGACCTGGTTTTCATGATTTTTTTAAAAAAAATATCTAATTAATATAATACTAATTGTCCCATCCATTAAATGGGACAAATAATACAACCTCAATATAATGAGTAAGAGAGCTTCCAATAACTTCCTCAACACATAAGTTATTAGGTATTGTTGCTGTGGAATTTTATTTTCCACATCTGTTAGAGCTAAAATATAATTTTTTCTTTTTCTGGAAATGTTGAAGGCTTGGTTCCTTTTTTCTTGTGTTTGACATGAGCTTGTCAGAAATTTAGCCATAAAATATGTACTGTTTCAGTAAACTTCCTTTGGGACTAGGGAGAGGAGCTTTCTCTGGTCCTAGCCTGGTTCCGACTTTGGGTCCCCACCCTCTCTCATAATGACCATCAGGATCACTCCTGAAACCCCTCAAAACAAACAAACAAGTAAATGAATCTTTTTTTTTTTTAAGCAGGGAGGTGGATGGGAAGTGAAGCAGCTGGGACACTAACTGGTACTCATGGGATTCCGGTGGATGCAAGGCAAAGACTTTAACCACTAGGCTATCATGCTGGACCCAACATGGTTCTCTTATTTTCAGTTCATTTAGAGTATTTTTTTTTTTTTATTTCAGTAAGTCATGGTAGACAAATGTCAAAGAGATATTTAGATATTAAGGTTTTTTTTTTTTAATTTAAACTCTGAATTGTTATATCTGGTGCAATGTATCTTTAAATTTCAAACTGATTTTTCTTTTCATTTCTTCAGTGCAGTTAAAATTGGCACGGACATGCTAGAACTGGACTGCCATATTACAAAAGATGAACAAGTTGTAGTGTCACATGATGAGAATCTAAAGAGATCAACCGGGGTCAATGTGAACATCTCTGATCTCAAGTACCATGTAAGTAAAAATGTGTCACTAATGATTATCATGATACCAGGGAGTTTAATTTTATTTAAAACAGTAAATATTAATAACTTTTAAAAATTTATTTATTTTTTATTATTGGAAAGTCACATACACAGACAGATATGCAGTAGGAGAGACAGAGGAAGATTCTTTCCGCTGATTCACTTCCCAAGTGGTCGCAACAGCCGGAGATGAGCAGATCCAAATCCAGGAACCTGGAGCTTCTTCCGAGTCTCCCACATAGGTGCCATGGCCTGAGCACTTGGGCTGTCCTCTGCTGCTTTTTTCCCCTTCTTCCTTCCTTCCTTCCTTCCTTCCTTCCTTCCTTCCTTCCTTCCTTCCTTCCTTCTTTACTTCTTTACTTCCTTCCTCCCTCCCTCCTTCCCTCCTTCCTTTCCTCCCTTCCTCCCTTCTTTCTTTCCTTCTTCCCTCTGTCCCTCCTTTCTTTCTTTATTTATTTCAAAAGAAATTCTTAACATTTACTTATTTTTATTGGGAAAGCAGAATTACAGAAAGAAGGAGAGACAAAGAAAATGGAAACATCTTCCATACAGTTGCAATGGCCAGAGATGAGCTGATCCAAAGCCAGGAGCCAGAAGCTTCTTGTGGGTCTGCCATGTGGGTGTGGGGTCCCAAGGCTTTGGGCTATCCCACTGCTTTCCTAGGCACATTGGCGGGGCGCTGCATTGGAAGTGGAGCAGCCATGACATGAACCAGCGCCTGTATAGGTGAATGCTGGCACTACTACACTGCAATGCTGATCAGTTCTTCTTTCCTCATGCCCCTCCCTTTTTTTTAAGGTATATTTTTATTTGAAAGATTTTCCAGAGAGAGAAGGAGAGATAGAGAGGGACAGCTCCCATCCATTAGACCTCAAATGTCTGCATCAGCTCAGGGTGGGCCAGACTGAAGCTGAACTCAGTCCTGATTTCCCAGCTGGTTATAGGTACCTAACCTTTGAACCAGGTACATGCTAATAGAAAGCTGGAATTGGGAGTGAAGCTGGGACATGGGCATCTTTTTTTTTTTTATTTATTTTTATTGGAAAGTCAAATATATAGAGAGGAGAGACAGAAAGAAAGATCTTCTGTCTGATAATTCAATCCCAAAGTAGCCACAATGGCCTGTGCTAAGCCAGTTCAAATCTAAGAGCCAGAAGCTTCTTCTGGATGTCTCATATGGGTGCAGGGTCCCAAGGCTTGAGACATCTTTGTCTGCTTTCCCAGGCCACAAGCAGGGAGCTGGATGGGAATTGGAGCTGCCAGGATTAGAACTGGTGCCCACATGGAATCCTGGCGTGTTAAGGGCGAGGGTAGCTAGGCCACGCTACCAGGCCCTCCACTCCCCATCCTAACGACCCTGGAAAGCAGCCAAGGAAAGCCTAATGCCTCGGGACCCTTCACCCACAAGGGAGAACCAAAACAAGGTTCCTGGTTTCTGGCTCTTAATTTCTGAAGGGCTTAGCCCCAGCTGATGTGGTCATTTGGAGAGTGAGCCAGGGAATGGAAGAAAGCTTTTCTTTCTTTCTTTCTTTCTTTTCTTTTTTTTTTTTTATGATTTATTTGTTTTAATTGAAAAGCCAGATTTTACAGAGAGAAGATAAGCAGAGAAAGATATTCCATCTTCTGGCTTGCTCCCCAAAGTGGCCATTACTCTAGAGCTGAGCTGATCCAAAGGCAGAAGCCCCCAACTCCTCCAGGTCTCCCACACGTGTGCAGGGTCCCAAGGCTTTGGGCTGTCCTCGACTGTTTTCCCAGAACAGAAACAGGGAGCTGGATGGGAAGTGGAGCAGCCTGGTCCCAAACCGATGCCCCTGTGGGATCCTGGTGCATACAAGTGAGGATTTGAGCCACTTGGCCACTGCTCTGGGCCCAAAAAAGATGTTTCTCTCTGTCTTTCCTTCTCTTTGTAAATCCACCTTTCCAATAAAAATAAATAATTATTTAAACAGAAAAAAAAAAAAGAAGGGCCTGGCACGGTTCCCTGGTGGCTGGAGTCCTCACCTTACATGTGCCGGGATCCCATGTGGGTGTCGGTGGTAATCCTGGCTGCTCCATTTCCCTTTCACCTCTGTCTTCATGGCCTTGGAGAGCAGCAGAAGATGGTCCAAGACCTTGGGACTCTACACCTACACAGGATACCCCGAGGAGACTCTGGCTCCTGGCTCCGGCTTGGCTTGACTTGGCTCCAGCCATTGCATTCACTTGGGGAGTGAACCAGTGGATGGAAGATCTTTCTGTCTGTATCTCCTTCTCTCTGTAAATCTGTCTTTCAAATAAAAATCAATAAGTCATTTTTTTTGAAAGAGAGAATTAGGGCCCAGCATGGTAGCCTAGCGGCTAAAATCCTTACCTTAAACATGCTGGGATCCCATATGGATGCCGGTTCTAATCCCAGTAGCCCTGCTTCCCATCCAGCTCCCTGCTTGTGGCCCAGGGAAGTAGCCAAGGACAGCCCAAAGCCTTGGGACTCTGCACCTGCATGGGAGACCTGGAAGAGGCTCCTGTCTCCTGGCTTCAGATTGGCAAAGCACCAGCCATTGCGATCACTTGGGGAGTAAATCAACAAATGGAAGATCTTCCTCTCTATCTTCTTCTCTGTTAATCTGACTTTCCAATAAAAATAAATAAATCTTAAAAAAAAGAGAGAATTAACGTTTTATTGTACTTCTATTCTAGGGTTTTCTGCCTAATTTTTCCTGATTTTCTAGATTAATTTTAATAGAGTATTCCTTTGAATATTGAGTTAGAGAGTTTCCTATGTAGTGATTAGTTATTTTTAACCTTTGAATTGTCTATGCTTAACTTCTTTACTGAAACCTGTATATATTATTGATGAAAGTACAGATTTCTTGTCAGTGGTGGTAGCAAGTATATTGCTATTGGCAATATTCTGTTATGGAGTGCCCTATGTAAAAATATGTAGTGCTTTGCTCTTTTATTTTTGGAAAAAGCCAATTTTTATGTATGAATATAAGTCACTAATACAGTTCAATTTTTGAGATTTTTTTTTCAATGATGTCTTTTCCAGGAGCTCCCACCTTACTTCAGCAAACTGGATGTCCCATTTCAAAGAGGTACTATTTCTCATTTGTGGTTTAAACATTTACATTAAAGTATATTTAATTCATTAATTAAATTGCTAGCTTAATTAAAATGTTTCCTATTTTGTCAAAGTAGGTTCTTGCACCTGAGCTTGTTCTCAGACCTACAGATCTTACTTTTCTTTCTTCTCACACACACTTTTTTTTTTTCCTGAAAGGCAAATTTATAGAAAGAGGGGGAGAGAGATTTTGTCCTCATATTTACTCCTGAAATACGCACAGTGACCAGGGCTGGGCTGTTCTGAAGCTGGGAGCCAGGAACTTCTTCCAGATCTCCCACATGGGTGCAGGGACCCAAATGCTTGATTCTTCTTCCATTGCTTCTCCCAGGTGCATTGGCTTGGCAGTGAGCTGGATCAGAAGAGGAGCTGCCAGGGCAAAAATACTAGCACCCACATGGGATACTAACATCATAGGCAGCTACTTTCCCCACTGTGCCATGACACCAACCCTTCTCTATTACTTTGAGGCTGAAGGATGTTTTCCATCTGCTTCTTCATCTCCCAGACAGCCACAGCTGCTGAACCCAGGAGGACACATGGTTCATCTCGGTCTCCCAATAAGTTTCAGGGGCCCACGTACCTGGGCCATCTTCTGCTGCTTTCCCAGGTGCATGACATTCATATGGAATGCCAGCATTGCAGGCAAGAGCTTAGCCCGCTGTACCACAGCTACAGCTCCAGGCCTACAGGTATAAACCTGATTGGTCATCTAACTATGGTGAGGACTAGAGACTCAAGCAGCTCCTTCCGTTTAGTTTCATACAGAGAGAGCTGGATCAGAAGTGGAGCAACTGGTATGTCAACTGGCACCCATAGGGGATGCTGGCACCACAGAGTGGAGGATTAACCTGAGGTGCCACTGTGCCAGACCTAGTGGATTTCTCTGTATTATTTCTTACAACTGCTATAGTTAGCTCAGGCTTAGTTAAAAAAACTTCAATCATAGCTATAAAACATATCAACATGAAAGTATTTACTCATTTATGTAAAAGGCTCAGAGAATGTATTTTATCTTTGTATTAAATTATGCTCAGCAAAAAGGAATAGAGGAACTGCACAAAATGATCAGAATACTTACATCTAAGTAGTTGGATTTTATATGATTTTCTTTTTTATATGTTAACTCATTTTGTAAATGGGCTCTCCTGAATACATACTGTAACTTCTAATCATGAAGAAAATAAAAGTTGTCTTTTAAGAATGTGTTTTAAACTCTTTCTCAGCATGCCAGTGTGAAGGCAAAGATAACCGGATCCCATTGCTGAAGGAGGTGTTTGAAGCCTTTCCTAACACTCCCATTAACATCGACATCAAAGTCAACAACAGTGTGCTGATTAAGAAGGTACTAATGGGCGTGTTGCATCCAGTTCCCACGTGAAATTAGGATAGGGCAGGAGGGTTCAGGAAATGCAATACTCAAGGGCTCAGCATTGTTTTAAATAATGCGCTGGTAGGAGAGATCACTTTACTGAGGGAGAAACTATTTCCAGAGTGAGTTGGCAGGTCTTAGTCAACCAGTCATTCTAGCATTTATATAATTAGCTTCTAGTTTAACTTGTTTCAGTTGTAGTTAGTTCATGCCAGGTTACAAAAGAGATGTCATTCTAATAAATAGATTGTAGAATAGTAAATTATATATAACTTTTGGATTTTATAAAATAATCTTAATGCATACGTTGGCTTTTCTAAAATATTATATTATCCATCAGCAGATAGTGAGGTGAGACCCTTTTTGAATGTTATTTTTCTTGGAAAGGCAGATTTATAGAAAGATCTTTCATTCACTGGTTCACTCCTCAAGTAGCCACAATGGCTGGAGCTGAGCTGATCTGAAGCTGGGAGCTAGGAATCAGAAGCTTCTTCCTGGTCTCCTACGTGGGTGCAGGTGCAGGGTCCCAAGGCTTTGGGCCGTTCTCTGTTGCTTTCCCAGGCCACAAGCAGGGAGCTGGATGGGAAGTAGAGCAGCCGGGATTAGTACCGGTACCCCTATGGGATCCCAGCTCTTGCAAGGCAAGAATGATTTAGGCACTGAGCCATCACACCAGACCCGAGACCTATTTTTTAAAGTGCAATGATGTAAGTAGATTTACAAATGTGCGTATGCATAAAATTCTCAATTTTCACGTGTAGGTTTCAGAGTTGGTGAAGCAGTATAAACGAGAACATTTAACAGTGTGGGGTAACGCCAGTTATGAAATTGTAGAGAAATGCTACAAAGAGGTAAGTTTTATAAAATGATAGAGCGTGATCTTTCTTATTTATCTATGAATAACAAGTTGTTATAATTGTGATGTTTTAAGATCTTGTTTATTTTGTATGTTCATACAAAGACATGTTACTGGGTCCCGGGGGAAGCTGAGGACTCGACCACTGCCTTCCGGCAGTGTCTTTGGCATGAGTCTCCAGCATTGGGTCCAATCTGGCAGGGGCACCCCCCACAGCCGCCACACTGCAGGGAGCGGCAGTTGCCCCCAGCCCCAAGGCCCGAACCCCTCCCAAACTCACCCAGCCACAAGATTTTAGCAGCAGGGCTCAAAGACCTGTTACTGTATAGGAATAACCAAAGTCTACTGAGAGATCATGGATTTGGACTTTGTGATTTAAGTTCCATATCTGCTCTGCAGGTACAGGGACCCAGGTTACTTGGAGTAACTTCTGCTTTCCCAGATGCATTTTCAGGGAGCTGGGTTGGAAGTGGAGCAGCTGGGTTTCTTTTCTTTTCTTTTTTTTTTTTTTAAAGATTTATTTTATTTTTATTGGAAAGGCAGATATACAGAGAGGAGAGACAGAGAGGAAGATCTTCCATCTGATGATTCACTCCCCAAGTGCGGGTGCAGGGTCCCAAAGCTTTGGGCCATCCTCGACTGCTTTCCCAGGCCACAAGTGGGGAGCTGGATGGGAAGAGAGGCCGCCGGGATTAGAACCGGCGCCCATATGGGATCCCGGGCGTGCAAGGCGAGGACCTTAACCACTGCGCCACCGTGCCGGGCCCAAGCAGCTGGGTTTCTAAACAGCACCCACATAAGACACAGGTGTAGTATCATTGCAGGCACCTGTTTAACATGCTATGCCACAAAGCAAAGCTGGTCACCAACAATTCTCAAACATCACAGTAAGAAATGTCTTAATTCTTCCGTACCATATTCCCAGGGGTGTTAAGCTCAAAATATAAAAATAAAAGGAAGTGGGGCACGCGGTGATGATGGGAAACCATGAGATACTTGTTCTCAGTGACTTTTATTATTTATTGTATTAAATTACCTGAACAGTTCAAAAACTGCACTAATGCCTGGGTCCCAACCCGGCTATTCTCATTTAAGAGAGAGTGGTACAACCAATTGTTCAGCTTCTGCCAGCATGCCACTTCCATCTCCCCCATCAGAGACCTGCTTGCCCCCCCGTAACAATTACTGTATATTATGGGCCCGGAGCCGTGGCCTAGCAGCTAAAGGTCCTCGCCTTGAACGTGCTGGGATTCTATATGGGTACCAGTTCTAATCCTGGCAGCTCTACTTCCCATCCAGCTCCCTGCTTGTGGCCTGGGAAAACAGTCAAGGATGACCCAATGCTTTGGGACTCTGCACCCATGTGGGAGACATGGGATAAGTTCCTGACTCCTGGCTCCAGACTGGCTCAGCACCAACCATTTGCGGTCACTTGGGGAGTGGATCATTGGATGGAGGATCTTCCTCTTTGTCTCTCCTCCTCTCTGTATATCTGACTTTGTAATGAAAATAAATAAATCTTTAAAAAAAGAATAATTAAACAATTACTGTATATTTTAGGGGCAGCCCCTTAATCTGTTTTTCCCATGAATTCTGTTGCCGTTAGTGCCTGGATTGGCAGAATTGAGGACTCCTCAGCAGAGGGGCAGGCCTTTGGCCCCGCTGTTAAGGCACCGGTCATATCTCCTGCATCCTGTTTCTGAGTGTCTGGATTTCTAGCTGGAGTTGCAGTACCCCTCCAACTCCAGCTTCAAGCAAATGCACACCCTGGGATGTGGCAGGGGATGAACCCGGTGGTTGGGTTTCTGCCACTCTGGAGGGGGCCACGGATTGGCCTCCTAGTCTCTGGCCTCTCACACAGTCCTGGCTGTCATGGGTTTTTAAGAGAGTGAAGCAGCAGATGGGAGTGGTCTGTCTGTTTCTCTTTCCCAAATAAATAATTGTTTTTGAAAAGTATAATCATTGTTCATAAGGTTGAAATTTTTTTCCAAGGATTTGGATATTGTATATAAATAAGTGAAACATAAAGCACTATGTAGACACAGTTTTTAAAAATTCTCAATTTAGTTTATGTTTCAAATAAAGAAGAAAGTGAGTATGAACACCGGTTTTAATCCCGGCAGCTCCACTTCCCATCCAGCTCCCTGCTTGTGGCCTGGGAAAGTAGCCGAGAACAGCCCAAAGCTTTGGGACCCTGCACCCATGTGGGAGGGATACCTACAGGAGGCCTGGGGGAGTACAACAGCAGATAGAAGCTCTTTCTGTCTCTCTTTTTCTCTATAAATCTGTCTTTCCAATAAAAATAAGTGCTAGAAAAAAAAGAAGGAGAGAAAAAGTGACTATTTAAAGTAAGTAGCTGGGGCCAGTGTTTGTTGCATAATGAGTTAATGCTTGTGATGCTGGTATGCCCTATCAGTGTGCCGGCTGCTTGTATGGCTGGAAGACGGCGGAAACTGGCCCAGGTACTTGAGCCTCTGTTTCCTGTTTGGGAGACCAGGATGGAGCTCCTGGATGCTGGCTTCCACCTAGCCCAGATTTGGTCATTTGGGAGATGAACTGGCGGTTAATAGAAGACCTCTGTCTCTCCCTCTTTGTTGTTGTGCCTTTCAAATAAATGTATTTATTTCTAAAAGATTTATTTATTTATTGGAAAGGCAGATATATATAGAGAAAGATCTTCTGTCTACTGGTTCACTCCCCACATAGCCGCAATGACCAGAGCTGAGCCAATCCGCAGCTAAGAGCCAGGAACCAGGAGTTTTTCTGGATCTCCCACACAGGTACATGGTCCTAAAGTTTTGGGCCATCCTCTGCTGCTTTCCTAGAGCACAAGCAGGGAGCTGGAAGGGAAGTGGAGCAGTCGAAATATGAATTGGCACCCATATAGAATCCCAGTGCTCGCAAGCCAAGGATTTCAGCCATTAGGCTACTGCGCCGGGCCCATAAATGTTTCTTTTTTAAAAAATAAAATAAATGATTTTCCTTTTGTATTATCTGTAAGCTTTTGAATTAATTTCAAAGACAGAGGCAGAGATCTCCCATCTCATCCCCTCCTGAGATCCCTTCAACAGCCAGTGTTGGGCCAGGTCAAAACCAGGAGGAGTTGGACCTATCCAAGACCCATGTGTTGGCAGAATCCCAGTGACTTGTGCCATGGTCTGCTGCCTCCCGGGTGTACATACGCGGGAAGCTGGAATCTAGTATAGAGCTGGGACTCCAGTGCAGGCAGTCCTCCATGGGAAGTGGGTGTCCCAGGCAGCATCTTAGCCATTTTTCTGTTTGCTGACCCCAAGTTTGAAAGGGATTTCTTCCTGGGGAACAATCCAATGGAACCACAATTTAAATTATTATTTTTTTAAGTATAGGAGGAGGTGGACGAGGAGGACTGGGGAGTTGTTTAATGCATATGGAGTACTGATGATAGGATGTGCAATTTGAAATATGCTTAATGCCACTGAACTATACACTTAAAAAAGGTTAAGGTGGCAAATTCTGTTGAGTGTATTTTTACCACGATTAACTTATATACTGCATTTTAAAGGTTCTGAAATCTTGAATATATTTTCCATTGGAAACTTAGAATTGATTTTTAGACTGGCTTACAAAGCCCTGCTTCTATTTTTTATCTGACTCACAATGTAGCTGGAAGGTGATTGTTGAAACAGTACTGGTACTCCAAGGGTACTTCAAAAGTTGATGGGGATTGTCAAAAAAGTTGATGGAAAATGCAGTTAAAAGGTGAATTTATTTTGCTGCAGAAAGTTTTGAAATTCTCACATGGTTTTTCATGACGCACATTTTGCATGAACTTTTTGAAGATCCTCTCCCATCTATATGTGTATATCTTCATATCCATAACTCTGTAACCATGTATCTTATAAAACACAGGCTAGATTACCAAAATTTCCTGTATCCAGATCTTTATGTTGTCTTACAGGATTTATGTTTGGGGTCTCTAGATGTGAGTAATATGACCTTTAGAAAGAAGAATGTTACAATAATAGAAGGTAATAGACAAATTTGAATGATAGCATGTACATTGTAGGTAGGTTATTACTTGTTTATCTAATACTAGCTATTTCTGAATGTGGTGTTTTTGTAAGTGGATATTCATAATATTGAGAGTGCTTATAATTGATTTCAAAAGATAGCATTGAGACATACTGAGAGTTATGAAATGCTTCTCTTTATTCCAATAGGCTGTAATGCATAATATTGCTTGTGTCTTCTAGAATTCCGATATCCCTATTCTCTTCAGTCTGCAGCGTGTTCTGCTCATCCTCGGCCTTTTCTTCACGGGCCTCTTACCTTTCGTGCCCATCCGGGAACAATTTTTTGAAATCCCAATGCCTTCTATCACCCTGAAGTAAGTGATTGCCCTGCTTTAATCAGTTCTCAATGACAGGGACAAAGAAGCTCGTTACTATCAGCAGCACTATGATTTACTGCCAAAGATTCCCTTTAAAGCTTGTTCGGCTGCACAGAACAGCTTAAAAAGTGATTAGGTCATTACAAGGGATTAATGCCCTTCTCAGGGGAATATGAGCTTTTGCTGTTACAAGACTGGGTTAGTTATTGTGAAAGTGAATGGTTATAAAGCAAGTTGGGCTCCTTGGACTTTGGGTAGCCGCCCGTTTCCCATGGGGCCCTGTCCTGCACCTGTCCTTTTTTCTACCTTCCACCATGAGGTCACCACAGGAAGCTGCGTGAAGGCCAATGTCATGGTCTTGGACTGTAACCAAACTTGTTTTCTTGAGAAGTTACTTAGCTTCGGATATTCTGTTATACTAATAGAAAACGTACTGCAATAATGTTCAGTGACAAAGAACAGGCTTCTGTTATTCTCATGTTCTTGACCTATTTTAGCAATATCTTTTGCTATAACTAAGACATAGTCCCCAAAATGAATAAATAATTAAGGGTTATAAACCCCATTGTGTGGGCTCCTGCCACCCACGTGGGAGATGTAGATAAAGCTTTGGACTCCCTGCTTCATCCTGGTCCAGCGGTGGCCATTAGAGCCATCTGAGGAATGAAACCAGCAGACGGAAGATCTGTGATCCTTCTGTAAGTCTTAAAAGTAAATAAAATACAAATCTTAAGAAAAGAAAGGTAGCTTTGTCTCAAAATCCTACATACTTAGAGTGTGATTTCTACAGAGAATAATAATTGAGTCATAGCAAACAGATTTGAAACTCCGGGAATTCTAAATGTGATTTCAGCTTCCTGAAATATATTTTATCCCCAAATAGAATTTAAAAAAAAAATCAAGTGACATTAGCGTAGCAGTCATCAGAAAATACTGGTGAGGAAAACAGTTATTGAAGGCGATGTCCCTTATTATGCCCAGCTTCTGCTTCATCTGTTTTTCATTTCAGTTTTTTTAGTGATGAGTTTGTTTATTCTTCCTGTTCCAAATCATATATATTAAGTTTTTGTAGCTTTTTCCCTCACACAAAACAATAGAAAACACTTCTTGTCTATTGAAAAAAAATATTTTCATTAGTTAGATTCACCAAATTAAAATGATTCTTAGCTATTTATTCTTCAAATACTTAGCTTTATATAGCCAGCAAAAAGGCAGATACTCTTTCAGTAGGAAAGATAATTAGGACAGATAGAGTGCAAGTGTTCAAATATTGAAAAGAGAAGGAAAACACGCTTTACCCATCTCACTTACTCCTCAGTGTCTTTTCATCCATAGTACAGGTGGTGTTTGTTTAAATCTACCACCTATCAAGTTAGAACAGTCAAAGCAACAGACGGGGCTGGGGGGAGTGTTCTCACAGAAAGAAAGAAAGGAAACATGAGCCCAGGTCACAGATCTTAGAAACAGAATTTTATTTTTAAGTATTGAATAGTGGTGGCAAAAAACTTGAGACCCATGGAGACAGGGAACCCAGTTAGAAGAATTTTGTTGTTATGGTTTTTGTTTTTAAACTTGTCTATATTATCACACTAATATATATATACGTGCGTTTCTAATTTGTAATCTGAGCTTCATTTTACTCTAGGCTAAAAGAACCACATACCATGTCCAGAAGTCAAAAGTTTCTCATCTGGCTTTCTGATGCGTAAGAATTTTGGCATTTTTGTTGTTGCTCCTGCTTACTAATTGCATGTAAAATTTAGTGCAAACTTCTCCACATGCAATGTGTGAAAAGTGCATGTTGAGAATCTGCCATGTAAATAGATATGAATGATTCATGTAGAACTCAGTTGCTAGGGCCTGGTACAATGGTTCAATTATTTAATTACACCCCACCCCTGCTCTGGGATCCCATATGGGCGCCGGTTCATGTCTCAGCTGCTCCACTTCCCAGGCAGCTCCCTGCTTATGGCCTGGGAAAACAGTAAAGAATGGGCCAAAGCCTTGGGACCCTGCACCCACATTGGGAGACCTAGAAGAAGCTCCTGGCTCCTGGCTTTGAATCAGCTCAGCTCTGGCTATTGCAGCCACTTGGGGAGTGAACTAAAGGATTAACTTTTTTTTTTTTTCATCTCTGCTTTCTGTAGATCTGCATTTCCAATAAAAATATATAAATCTACTCCCCAAAATTCAATTGCTAGTCATAAAAACTTTGGAAGAACTTAACAGAGTTGTGTAATTGACTTGGTGTCATCCAATTAGCAGAGCTGGGATGGAAAGCATTTTCTTTCTACTTACTTGTTATTTTTACTACCACAAAGACAGGGTAAATCATGCCTGAGTTTTCCTAACATTTACTTTTCCATATCATTAGTTCCCATTTTATCCAAGTGATTTGTATTCTGAATATTGTTTTGGAATTCATTTACTTAGAATTAAAGATACTTTCTATGTAGGCATAAGATGGTATAATGAATGTATGTGAAGTCTCAGGAGGGTTTGCAAAAGATTAATCCATTCTATAACCGAACTGCATATGGAGGGCTCGGTCCCAGTTTGTTACCTTATTTTGCCTTGAACAGTTAGAAGCATGCACATCCCAGTCTTTTTCACTCTCATTAATTGCTTCAGCAGTGAAAGTGAGGACACCTCTTTTCCACTGAGTAAAAATGGGGTTTCTGAGGATCCAGTGGCAACACAGAGTAGCAGGGAGGTTCTAGGGACCCCCAGCCAGCGGCCTGCAGTGAAAGAAGCTCTAGTGTGGAAACCACTTGTGACCTGAACCATCATGTGTGTTGTTGAAACCTCAGAACTTAGATTGGGAAATCTTGAACACTAACTTACCTAAATAGGACTAATGGTTAATGTAAGTCTTCCTTTCCCTTTCCCCTCCTGCTTTTCTTTTTTCTAGCTTACTAATGAGGAAAGCTTTGTTTGACCACCTCACTGCTCGGGGCATTCAAGTAAGTTTCTGGAGACCTATCTTGCAGAAATAGCACATCTCACCAGGTCAACACAGTGGAAGGACAGGAACTTCTTAACTGTGTTTGGCTCCAGACTCTGCTGGTGCTGCCTTGGGCTCTGCCCTGGGGTTAGTAGTAAAGCCATTGGCATTTCTGCAGCTGGGCAGTCACAGGGGCAGGAGAGACTTGGTTTTTAGTCAGTGGAAGTTTTTTTTTTTTTTTTTAAGGAATGCAATGGTTTCTTAAAATGACAATTCTATAAAGGTTATTTCTAAGTATACTGAGATTATATAAATCTTCTAAAAGCAAAACCCTCTTTTGACTCTTCTCATACTTCTCATGCTTCTAATTTTCAGGTTTATGTTTGGGTATTAAACGAAGAACACGAGTACAAAAGAGCTTTTGATTTAGGAGCAACTGGAGTGATGACAGACTATCCAACAAAGCTCAAGGACTTCTTACATTCTTTTTCAACATAGAGAAAGAACTCAGAAGCACTCAAAGAAAACACAAAAAGACCCAAGAAAAAATATTTCACCAACATTTCCCTAAGACATTTCCAGAATGGGTAAAGGTTTTAATCAGTTAAGTTTTTATTACCTCATTTTTAAGTCTGTATAAGAATGTAGAAACTATATATTGTATATTTATTTTAAATAATATTGCACATTTTGCATTTGTGAATTGTCTAGAAAGATAACTGATTATGAGATGCTAAGTAGAAGATTATTGATCAAGATTTGCATATATAATGCAATATCCTACTATTCTAAGTAATTCTGAAATCAAAGACTATTAGATAAATTTGGCATTAGCTTCCACTGGAATCAGATCAGCTGCTTTAGTAAAAGGAAATTGTTGAAGACCATTGTAATGATTCTGCACTGTCTTATTATTTCTAGGTACATCTTAGTTAAAGGGGAAAAATACCATGGAAGAAAAAGCTTGGAAAGCAAATGTAGTTATCTAGCAAAAATCCATACATTGTTAACAGGAGGCAGGCTCAAAATAACTGCAAGTATATTACTTAATTACAAATAAAATCTGTAGACCGAATGAGATTTTTTTGTTGTTGTTAATGGGACATTCCATTTGGAATCTTTCAGGTGTATAACAATGCTACCATGTCTAGTTTTTTTTTTAATGTTCAGAAGATATCAACTGCGAATTAAGATAGGAATAACATTTTTGTGTTTCCTTTGAAGAAAACTAAGATTTCCAATTTTGGCATTAACTGACTGAGCCGACATCTAGACTTGAAATAACGTCCTGAGCCCTAGTGATTATACCCAGTTGATGTAAAAGTACATATCATTCTTTTTAATCCTTTTGGTATGAACCACCTGTTTTGATGGTTAAGCATTCAGTCGTCTGAGTATAAAATAGAAACAGAATTTCCCAAAGGCTTAGACCACTTACCCAGCCTTTCTGATGTGACTTCATGTAAATCTGTTTCTAATCTTTTTGACTAATTCCCATAATCTCAGTTTGGGAAGTAAATAGACCCAAGGAGTAATAAGTGTCTTGTACCTAGATTACATCTGTCATTTGGAATTTGCCAGCTCTGTAGCTATAAAAGATGACCATAGTCTCCCGTCTGCCCTGGATGACATATTATTTGCTTTGTTATTTAAACTGAAATAAAGTTGTCAAAAAAGATTCTTAAAAATTTTTATAGTTGTAATTCTTTCTTAGGATTCTTGCATTATAAATATTTTTGCTTAATTTAATGAGGTGATGAGTTGATATGAATAAATGGACGTGGGATTTCTCTCTAAAATATAGAAACAGTTTTAAGGTAAGGAATTTGCTTCTTGACATTTGAAAAAAGAACTTTATCAGGTAATTTATTAACTCACAAGCACTTTCCTTTACATCTGAGTGTTGCTTTTCTATGGGAGTATTATGTTTTAGAAATTCAATAACCTTAAATTTTGATGTAAATGTTACTAGTGTAATAAGTGGTTTGATTGGGAGTGGGGGGAGCTCATTGCTGAGGCCAGAGCTGGGAGACTTGTAACGTGCAAGCTACTGACTCACCACTCCCTTCTCTGGCTCAGATCCTCTATTGTTCTAGGGGCCTAAGCAGGCCTGTGTAGACTGGAGGACTGCATGAACAGCTGACAGCTCCCCCTCATAGGAGGTCCAGCATTTTTTCCTAGGAGACTGACACAATGGCAAGTTTATTTAGTTGCTGGGGCTGCCACAGTTGGTATGGTTGGTTCAGGTGCCAGTATTGGCATAATGTTTGCCAGCTTGATTGCTGGTTATGCCAGGAACTTGTCTCAAGCAGCAGCTGTTGTCCTGTACCATTCTTAGCTTTGCCCTGTCTGATGTTGTGGAGCTCTTCTGTTTGATGGTCACATTCTTCATCCTTTTCATCATGTGACATATATATATGTATACATGTGTATATATATATACATATATATGTATAAAACTGGTATAAAATTGAAATCATGTTTGATAGACATAACTGTCAGTCCAGTGTAACATACAATGAGATACAGCTGATGAGCAATTCAGAGGCACAGACAGACAAGAGATCTTGTATCCACTGGTTTGTTTCCCAAATGTCTGCCACAGCTGGGTCTGGACCAGCCTGAAGCTAGGATCCCAGAACTCAATCCATATTTCCTGTCTGTAGGAAGGACTCACTGCCTGCTGCCTCCCAGGGTGTACATTAACAGAAACCTGGAACTGGGAAGTAGAGCCAGATTTGTGTGTCCTCAGCAGCAGCATCTTAGCCACTATGTCAGATGCCGACCCCTGAGTATATTTTAGATACTTCACGTATGGTATATTGTGCCTTGGTTCACTCTGCCACAGCCCTTGCTGTTAGAAGGTATTACAAGATGGAAAATGTCTCTCCCTCTGTAATTTCCAAATAAAGCAAATAGACATTTAAAAAAAATTCATGCAGGGCAGTCATTTTGCCTAACAATTAAGATTCTAGTTGAGGTGCTTGTGTCCAGTATTGGAGTCCAGACTCATTCCTCACTTCGGCTTAAGGAAATTGAGTCCCTGCCACCTACATGAGAGACCTGGGTTGAGTTCATGGCTTCCAGTTTCAGCCCAGCCCAGCCCCAGCCAGTCTTTGTATGCATTTGTGGAGTGAACCTGACATAGAAATCTCTGCTTTCCACTTGGGGGAAAAAAAAATTCAGGAGACAAAAAGCCAGCATTTTAGAGAATGAGGGTGGGAATCTGATAGCCATAGTGGAATTATCAGACAGCTCTAAGGGCTAATTTTAAACTTGAGATTTTGTATTTAAAATAAAGTCTGTGTCAGGTGTTTGACATGGTGATTAATAGCCTGCGTCTCAGAGTACCTAAGTTCAGGTCCCAGGTTCAGGTCCAGCCTCACTTCTGATTTCTGCTTCTTGCTAAAGCATACCCTGGGAGGGGGCAGGTAGTGGCTCATGTGCTTGGAAGACCCAGATTGAGCTCTGGGTTGATTTTGTACTGATCCAGCCCTGGCTAGTGGGAACTTGTGGGGAGTTAAACCAGCAGGTGGAACATTCTTGCTCTCTCTTCTTCTCTGTCTCTCCCTATGTTCCATTGATAGAGATATTCAGATTTTGTTCACTTTGGCATTCTTACGTGCTTAACAACATAAAAGAGCAGTTGATATTACCATATTCCTATGTCTTAAGTAAAACTAAAATTCAGATGAAACTTTCAAAGGGAATTTATCTGGTTAGAAATGATACAATCAGGTCTTCCCCTTTTTTTAGATTTTATTTTTGATGTTTACATAGTTAATCAGGATAGGAAGGATCAAGGGTTAGGGCAAAATGAGTGAGAGCATTATTTTTGAATTTTCTATTCTCCTATTTCTGGGGGAAGGGAGGAAATAAGGGGAGGAGCCATACCCAGCCTCCCAACTGCCTCAGTACCTGGGGATGAGGAACGGCCACTGGATATCAGCCCAGGGTCCATGTTGTGGCTCACACTCCAAGGGTTCTGTCCAGGTGGTTTCAGTAGTTCTGAAATGCTGTCCATCTCACCAATCCAAGGGTGATGAATCCCTTTCAATGTCCGTTGGCTGACATAGTTGACCTTACAATCTCCATCAGATCAGATTTTTACTGTCATCACTTGGTTGGGGTAGTTGTCCAATTTGTTCTGCCCTCCTTCCTCTGCTATGATACCAGATGTCCTCTACCAGATGTCCTGTGCAGGCCCCAGTGGGCTGCCATATCCTCCATATGCATCAGGGCCTGCTGTCCACTGTTCTGTCTTATCCACTGAGGAGGACCAATTCTCGCAGGCAGACCCAAAGACCTGAGCCAAGAGACTCGGGTCCCACTGGATCCCCAATTGAGGTCTTCTTAACCTTCCCATCTGCTCTGGTTTTTCTAGCTTACCTTCCATTCACCATCCAGTGATGAGAGAAAGACAAAACACCAGTAGAATGAGTAGTTGCCAGGGCTCCTATGGAAAATGAACTTTCTCAGTACAAGCACATTTTACAGTCAAGTGTGCTCAGTGTTCTCTGTACCACAACAATGTTGGGAGCACTTATGATTGGAGACAGAAACAAGTCCATGCTCCCTTCAACCCCTGAAACCACTCTCCTTGGCATTAGGTGGGAAACTGGACTGTAAGGAATCTCAGGTAAGGACACACGCTATTACTGTCCCAGAAACCACCATGGAAAATTGTAAGTATGTTAGTGTATATGCCTTAGTTTGCTCTAATGAAGGAAACACAAAGCCTTTCGGAACAAATGCTGTTTGAGTCCTTATACTGGTTCCATTGTCTACTGTGTTTAGCTAGTGGAAAAACCCGGCAGGAGATCAAATAGTAGAGGGAGGCTGATATTTATCCTCTCAAGCTCCTGAGAGAATGTTGTTTGAGTTCCTGGGCTGAAAGGTGTAAACTTAATTTTGAGATGACTCTTTCTCTAAGACTCTTAGGTTCTACTAACAACAACCAGCCTTTCTCTGTTCAGTGGGTAGTAAGAGCTCTGCCATCATTATCATTGTTTCCCCTGCTGTGTAAGTGATTCCTCTTTAAGCAACGCCCAAGTGATTCTGAGTGTGCCTCTGTTTCCTGCTGGTTCTCTGACCTGTTCACCTGCAAAGCAAAACTCTGATTCTTTAAGACTTTCTCCTCCTTTCTTTACACTAATTCACTTATTTATTTGAACACTCCATCTTCTAGGCCCTGGGTCAAGTGCTTGATGTACAATGGTAACGAGGTCCAGTTCCTGCTCACAGAAGACAAATAACAAACAAGGAGAAGTTACAGGGTAGACAGGAGCCCGGTGTGGTAACCTGGTGGCTAAAGTCCTGTGTTGTATGCACTGGGATCCCATATGGGCACTGGTTCTAATCCTGGCGGCCCCACTTCCCTTCCAGCTCCTTGCTTGTGGCCTGGGGAAGCAGTAGAGAATGATCCAAAGCCGTGGGATCCTGCACCTGCACGGGAGACCTGGAAGAAGCTCCTGACTCCTGATTCTTGGCTTTGCATGACCTCGACTCCAGCCATTGTGGCCACTTGGGGAGTGAAGCAGCGGACAGAAGACCTTTCTGTCTCCCCTCCTGTGAGTCTGACTTTCCAATGAAAAATAATTAAATTAAAAATAATCCAATTAAAATGGTTTCAGCCTAGTGAAACCATTTGAAGAGCAGATTGACCTAGCCCAGCCCTAGTTGTGGGTATTTGGGGAGTGAAGCAGCAGATGGAAGATCTCTGCCTTTCTCTCCCATTCTGTCTGAATGCATTTCTGTCTCAAATGTATAAAAACAACAATGAGCTCTCATGAGTGACCTCTACCTTGCTTAGGTTATAAACTGAATGAAATTTGCCTTGAGTTATTTCTTGTAAGGGTCCATATTAAAAACAACTTAGCTCAAGTAATCAGAAAGCAACAACAAATTTATTTGCAGTTATATAACTAGGGACTTTCCTATGGCACCAACCAAGTAAGGCAACTGTAGAATTAAAACAACAGGGTTTGACATGATAGTGTAGTGGCTAAAGTCCTCACCTTGAAGGCACTAGGATCCCATATGGGCACTGGTTCTAGTCCTGACAGCCCCTCTTCCCATCCAGCTCCCTGCTTGGCTAGGAAAGCAGTCGAGGACAGACCAAGGGCTTGGGACCCTGCACCCGTGTGGGAGACCTGGAGTAGGCCCCAGGCTCCTGGCTTCGAATCGGCTGAAATGTGGCCACTGTGGCCGCTTGGGGGAGTGAATCGTGATGGGAGATCTTCCTCTCTGTTTCTCCTCCTCTCTGTGTATCTGCCTTTCCAATTAAAAAAATTAATAAATCTTTTTAAAAAATTAAAACAAGTTGAATCTTTTTTTCCCCTTACTTATGTGTCCATCTTATTTTTTCAACTTCACTCATGTAAATTTTAATATAGTCACAAAATCATGATGTGTCCATCTTATAAAAGCCACCTCTCCTATACCCTCTGTGAGCTCCCAGATCATTTCTGATTTGGAGCTGCCTGATTCATGAATCATTGTTTACTCAAACTCTTAAAAATGTTGTGCCTTTGTTTGTTTACCTTTCCAATTAGTAAGTGTTATGTTATGGTAATAAAATACTTGAGGCTGGGTACTTCATAAGGAAAAAAAAAACACATGCTTAGTTCACAGTTCAAGTGTGTGATGTCAGCTCTTGTCAGGGACCCCTGACTGTATTACATCTTGGTGGCAGCCCAAGACAGGAAGGCAAGTGGTGGCCAGGTGTATTATTTTATAGTGACCTTGTCTGGAGCAATAATTGCATCAGTTCCTTCGGAGGGTAACAGCCCAGCAACATCATGGCTCCCTATTAGGCCTCAGCTTTGAAAGGTCCCACCACATGGTAGCGTTGCCCTC